AAAAATGGCATCGAACACAAAATCCAGTAGACAAAAGCGACTGGAATCGACTCAACAAAATCCTAAAAGAAAAAATATTCTCAATAAAAAATGAAACTTTTAAAGCATATATAGATAACTTATCTGCAACAGAAAATACAGACTACTCGTTATGGAAAGCAACCAGACGTATGAAAAGACCTCAAGTATATGTGCCACCAATTTTAAGGGATGATGGTACATGGGCTCGAAGCGAACAGGAAATATCTGAAACTTTTGCAAGTTACTTGGAATGTGTATTTCAACCTAACAACATACAATCTGATCTAAACACGACGTACTTAAACTACGATATCACTGATCAAACTACAGATCGCATTAAATATTTCACGCCTCTTGAAGATGCAAATGAGATAGATAAAAACTTTAACTCTAAAAAATCTCCGGGTTATGATAGGATAAGTCCGCGTATAATTAAAGAATTATCTCGCAAAGCAATCATCTTATTAACTTACATATTTAATGCCTGCTTACGTATAGAATATATACCTGTAAATTGGAAAAAACACAACTCATCATGTTATTAAAACCAGGAAAGCTGCCTGAGATTACTAGTTCCTACAGGCCGATATCACTTCTTCCTACAATATCGAAACTTTTCGAAAAACTACTTTACATTAGATTGAATCCTATTATTCAAGAACGTCAACTAATTCCTAACCACCAGTTTGGATTTCGTACTAAACATTCCACCATAGATCAAGTGCATCGCGTTACAAACGTAATTAGTAGAGCTATGGAGAAAAAAAAGTATTGCTGTGGCGTATTTCTCGACGTTTCTCAGGCCTTTTGANCTGTGGCGTATTTCTCGACGTTTCTCAGGCCGTTTGGCATGAAGGCTTACTATATAAATTGAAAAAGCAGTTGCCTCGTACATGGTGTGGGCTACTAGATTCATACTTAGTAGAAAGACAGTTTCGGGTAAGTCACGAAGAAGCAGTATCTGAATGGAAAGGTATTAAATCAGGGGTATCTCAAAGTAGTGTCCTCGGGCCTATACTTTATCTACTTTATACATCTANCTATACTTTATCTTCTTTATACATCTGATATTCCTACTTACAATAAAACAACAACAGCTATGTTTGCTGATGACACAGCTATATTGTCATGTGATAAAGACCTTTCGATCGCCACAAAAAATTTGCAAATAAATGTTGATAGTATCCTTACATGGACAAAAAAATGGAAGATACTATTAAATAGTTCAAAATCAGTACACGTGAACTTTACAAATAGAGTAAAAAAGACCAACCCGATAATGCTTGATGGTCAATTAATCCCACAAGAAATGTCAGCAAAATATCTAGGTATGCATTTAGACTCTAAATTAAACTGGAGTATACACATTAAAATGAAATTAAAACAAATAAAACAAAAAAGAAGTAATATGTATTGGTTAATTGGACGGAGATCACAATTATCAATAGAAAATAAAAGATTACTTTATGTATCTATCTTAAAACCAATATGGACTTACGGCATTCAACTATGGGGCTGTGCTAGCAAGTCTTGGATTGATAAAATTCAAATTATGCAAAACATTACTCTCCGTACTATTACCAATGCGTACATGTACGAAAAAAATGACAATATTCATAAGGATATGATGATACCAACCGTCAGAGAAGAAATTCAACGGTATGCCAGGGCACATGAAAATTGTCTGAAGACCCACGTCAACAGAGCTGCTGCTCAACTGCTTGATTACTCACAAGATGTTAGAAGATTAAAAAAAAATAAACCATACGACTTATTGTAAATATATATTATTTAATGTAAATTTACTTAAGTTTGGAGACTCTTCACTG